ATATCATGTTCAGGTGTCCGCCATGTTGGCTCACACACTACGGGAGCGCCAAATATAGTTTCAGTTGCGTTTGGCATTTCAGTGGAAGTCAGTAATCAGCATTTGAATGGACTTCATAACAAAGGGCCGCGGCATTGACCTACCATATAGACAGCGGGGATCCACAAAAGATGTGAAATTTGAGATAAACATCCCCGCTACGTTTTAAAATAACAAATTAGTAATTATCCAGTTGGAGTTCGAATTAGGAATGATTTGAATTTTTGAATTTCGAGCGCAATCTGCATTTCTAATCCTAACTGAATAATTTTTTTTTATTTAGGGTGGGTGGCAGGGGTGTCTATACAGAAGATCCTAGGTTCCATTACATTTGAACCCATGTACATTTGCACCTACATAATATTACACCTATGGAAATTTTTTTTGTTTTATGGATTTTTGAACCCATACTAACCCTAACCCATGGGTTTTAGCACCCGCATATAGATTGAACCTGCGAATATACACATGGGTTCAAATGTACGCGGGTTCAAATGTACGATCTCCAAGATCCGACAGCAGGTTAGAAACAAGGGTGGATATATGGTCCCAAGCGCCATTTGAATGGCCTCTATCATACAGGGCTATTGGTTTGCCATATAGACAGCAGGTTAGGAAAAGAGATGGAGAGAACCACCTCATTTTCAATACATAAAAGTCAAAAAGGCTGTTAATGGGCGCCAGATGCTCCCAGTCACTTCTTTGCTCCTCATAATTTTTTATTATCTGCGTATGTATGTCGTAACAATGACTATTTCACGGTGTTACTTTGTAGAATTAGAGGAAGTTGTCAAATGTCAGATAGCAGTTTACTTGTAAACGGACAGTCCTGATAAACGCAGGAATAAAGTCATTTTACAATTTCAAATTTATAATGAAGTCAGTTCTTATTATATCTTAACCAGGTTTGTTGTTTTTCAATCAGTAATTGTCCAAGTATTTTTACTTCATCTGTGAGGCCCAAAACAATATATGGTATCGATAAATTCCCTTCGCAATTTTCATAAATTTCAAGACTTCATGAAGACCTTATATAATACCGTCACTATTATAGCTGTGACAAAGTTGTTGTTGTGACTCGTCTCCTAGAGAAAACGCGCAAACAATGAGTCGATGAGCAATTAATGTTTTGTTTATTTAAATGATAAGCGGCCTCGAATGTCGCAACAGTTTTACCTAGCGAGTAGTATGCTTGCTTTAGGCATGAGAGGGGTTATGTTCGCGTTTTCATGTTATTTTTAAACATGGGCTGTATATGTAAAGATGGGTTGGTCGCATATGCGCGTCCGTTTCAAAGATGATATGTTACGTGTATGATAGATGCAATAATTCGACGTATTCCGAGAGCTCACTCAGGGAGTAGTGTGCTCGCGCTAGGCATGGGAGATATCTATCTTCGTCTTTGCGTGTTCATGTCAAACAGGGGCTGTATATATAAAAATGTGGCGGCGATCCAATTTTTGTCTGGAGCGATTCGAATATTTAACTATTCGATTAGATTCGAATATTCGATTCGAAATGCCCAGCCCTAGTTTTCAGGGAGTTCGATAGAATAGGATTTACATATTTATCTCGGGGAGAGGAAAGCTGATAAGACGGCTTAATCATATGGCGAACCACGGCCTTTCGTCCGGGTAACAATCCATGTCACGTATGGGATTAGTTAGTTATTTGTTTTCGGGAACACGGACTTGATGGCGGAGGAAGCCGTAATCGACCAGCGGTTATGTGAACCATCCTACGACGGAGAAGAGTCCAGCAATTCTTTCGCACATAACTATTCCCGCATGGGATTCGGACCTAAGAACCACACAGAGTAATCATAGAGATGCGGGGGTGAGCGTATTCCTAACGCTTAGCACGATGAGCCATAACGACCGAGCTAATACAGAAGATGACCCTTTCTCAAATTTAAAACTCATAAGTTATACAAACACGCCGATTATGTAACGAATATGTACAGATGCCTGGGCGTTATCACAAACTGAAGAGGGTCTCGTCTCGTAAAATATTAACTATGACAGCTTATATGGCGTTTTTACGGCGTTGGTCTATTAATACTGTTAAGGTGAGTTCGCTGAAGGGTGATGATGTTCACTACAAAACATTAATTTAACTTATTGAGGCTTTGGTGAATGTAGATTTTATAGGTTAGATGTAAGATTGGAGATTTTTTGGGGCTCCCGAAGTATGCGAACCAGGATGGCGGACATCGGAATGTAATATGTGTACTAGGTTAGGGTTAGGCCATAATTTTAGGTATAAATACTACGGGAGGCTCTTGGCTAGTCTTCGAACTGATAATAGGACTAAAATAAGGAAAATTCGAAAAAAAATTATCGCCTAACCCTAAACTGTTACCCATGTTACGTTCCGATGTCCGCCATGTTGGTACGCATACTTCGGGAGCACCGCACTTTTTTATGTTTATTTCGGGGAGAGAAAGTGTATAAGATGATTGATTGATATACCGTACAGATAGATTACGACGATATCTTGGAGCGTGGCAATGTCATATGAAAGATTTTAAAATACTTGAATATAACATAACTTATACAAATTCAATCTGAATATTGGGTAAAATAGGATTTTTATTTTATTTCGAGGGTGAAGGAAGCGTATTAGATGGTTTACTAGTATATAAATGTGCCATATACAATGCTTGGTCATTTCGAAAAGTGTATTTTTCCAAATGCGGAGAAAAGCGATTTTCAATAACGATTTATCAAAACTAGAAAAGATATCTAAATAGTTCATGTAATGGAGAATTTGTGATTTTATGCGTATTTTGTAGAGATGAAAGCATATTAGGTGGTTTTAATCATATGGAATATGACGCCATCTCGGCGTTGGTCTTTTTATATCGCCAAGTCGAGATCGTCAAAGAGCGATGCACATTACGCAACATCAATTTAGTTTATTGGGCTTTGTCGAATGTAGATCTTATGGGTTATATGTAAGATTGGAGATTTCTCTGTTATTTCGAGGAGAGAAAAACGTATTAGATGGTTCAACCATATTGAATACGGCGGACTCTCGGTGCTAGTCTATTCATGTCGTTAAGTTGAGATCGTAAACTGGCGATGTATGGCAATTAGATGACGTGAGTATGGTTTAATGAGGTAATTCGTTGGATAGACTGACAATTCGTAACAGGAAGTAAACGACAGAGAAAGGTGAAATTAATTTATTGATTCATGTACACAGCATTTGAAATAAGAAACAATAAAACATTTATAATAAATACAATATGAAAAATATTCAATCATATTTTAGTTATGTTTGACACAATTATGTTATTTTTTGGGGCACACTTACCAAATCGCCGCGACGTCTCCTTCGGGAGCCGCTGAATTAGATGGTTCAGTGGTGGGCAAGTTTTCCTGACCAGAAGCCAAAATTTTTGCCCAACCAGACTGGCAGGCCATGTAAGTGTGACGTATAAAGTTACATTTTATGAACGATATGTGCAGTGTTACGAAAGCAAAAGTGGAAAACAATAAGCCTCGTGTCATAACTAAATTTAATCGCAATGTCAACATATTTCTTGTGCTATTTTTTTAGCTAAAATATCAAAAAATTGGGTTTAGTTCGGTAGTGTCCAGATTAAGCAAGCAGATTAAATTACCCAACGAACCGGACTTGGCACGAGGGTCGTTGTTTGTCTACGTCATTGGTAGACAAAGCGATCCAAAATCACCGATATCACTGAAGGTTTTATGACAAAATGGCCGATCTTGTCAATGCAATATGACTCACTCGCTTACTTATTGTTGTATTTTAAACCTTTGATCCCGAAGAAAATTTCTCCTATTCTTCCCATTGATTGGCCATTGTTACGGAAATAAGCAAGAGAGTCGCTGGGAAACTTCCGTTGGGAGTTCACATTTAATACAAAACTGAAATAGGCGACAGGGACGTGACCAGTCATATTAGAGTTAGAGTAGGGGCGAAAAATGCGAGATTTTGTAATATTGCGCCGTATTGGTATACAAAGGCGTAGTCAGCAATTTTCAAAGATTGGGGGGGGGGGGGGTTGTGAAATTTCTAATTGCCAAGTTAGGTCGTAACAGCCAGCGGGAATACATGAGTTTTCAAAAGTATTTTGCGTTTCAAGCCACGAAAATTGCTATGTATGATAACAAGAGAGCTATGCTCAAATGTATGGACACGTAGAGTCACATAATTTTGATGACGTCATAGCGCAAAAGTAAGTAATAACCTTCTGGAGAAAATTTTTATCTTTAACCACTGAAAATTTCAAAGCAATTGGTCCAGTATTCGAAGAGAAGAGCGATTTCTACAAAACGTGTTGACGGAGACAAATAATAACAATAACAACAAAATTTTCACTACGTGTCCAAAAATGTTGTTTCATATATTTTAAAAAATGGGAAGAGGGGGCGGGGACCTTTAACCCTCCCCCATCTAATTACGCCTATACTGATATACAGTATAACGTTTTTATACAAGTTTGTTCATAGCAAACCTCGAGACCATTAAAATAGTACTAGTAGAAGAGTTGCAGCAACTGATTCACTATTTTAGTATGAGTACAGGTTTTTGGACACGTAGTGGACATAACGATCGTTTCAATATTATGTTGTTGTTGTTCTTGTTCTTTGACACGTTTTGTAGAAATCGCTCTTCTCTTCGAATACTGGACCAATTGCTTTGAAATTTTCAGTGGTTAAAGATAAAAATTTTCTCCAGAAGGCTATTACTTTTTTTTCGCTATGACGTCATCAAAATTATGTGACTCTACGTGTCCATATATTTGAGCATAGCTCTCTTTTAGTATGTGTACAGGTTTTTTTTAAGTGAAAAAAGTTCTCATAAATAAGTTGCAGGTTTGTTCAAAGCTAGGTCCCGAACCTACACATAAGTCAGTAGATAAGCGTGCTATAAATAAGAAACACCATATAGTACTATACCCTTTCTCTTTTCCATAACAGATTTCAAATTACTTTAAAATATTTTCAAACTTAAATGGAGTAACTAATTGGACAAAAAATGGAGGAATACTCCCCTATAGCGTATCATGATTTACGCAAACTCGATGATTTACTGAGTCAATGGCGGCTCCGTCGAAAATCCGTCGATTTGGACGGGAATTTCTTTCATTCATTAGTACGACAATTGGAATTAAAAATACCAAGCAAAGCAACAACATTCGACGTTTTACGTGCTAATTGCGTCAACTATTTACGTAAAAACCTCGTCATCAGTCGAAAACAGGGGGAAGCGTGGGATAATTTTATTTCGGACAAATCAAAAGAGGACTACTTGTCACACATGAGCGCAGATGGAAATTGGGTCGATCAAGTGATGGTTCAGGTCAGACATCTCAATGCAAACTTTTTTTTCTCTTCCATTTAGGCTTTGTGCAAGCAACTGCTTCAATTACAAAGTTTGAAAATGAAAACAAACTTTTCTTTCTTTTCGATTTGAGATTTGCGGGCAACCACTAGTCAACTTGACTGGAAACGCATGGAAAGGAAAGGGTGTTAATTGAAATAAAAAACTTGAACAACCTCATAAAATAAAACAAATTTGTGTAAGATACATTGAGAACTGACGTTATAACTAAATTTAAATTGTAACACCTTGTAATTTTTTAATCTGTGTTTTCTAGGCTGCCCTAAGCTAATAAATGGTCCGGTGAATCCAATCCTCTGCTTTCAACACATGAATATGCATAAAAATCTCAACGTATTCCACCAACAAATTAATGTTTCGAGTTTCTAGGAAGCCACAAGGAGTTCACGAACGGACTCGTGACAATTTTTTTTATCTCCCCCCCTCTATTTCAGCATCTTCCAACCAGCAAAAATTAAATTCTTAACCCTCTTTTTTAACAAATTTTTGAATTTCCCATTTTTTCAGGCCGCTGCAATTTATCTTAAATCATCACTATAATCACAACAGCCGCAATCACAAATCAATTATATACATTGAAAATGAAAACAAATTTATCTTTTATCTCGCTCGCATCCACAGACCAGGGGGGAGATTCTAAAATTTCTAATTGCGAAGTTAAATCGTAAAAGATAGCGGAGGCCTGAGAATATGGGGTTTCCAGAGTATTGAGAGTCTAAAATGCGTTTCAAGTTACGAAAAATTGCTTTTTTAACATTTTGAAATGAGAGGGGATGGGGGGGGTAATCCCCGAACATGGCTACGCCTCCCTCAAAATCGCAACGTATTCCGTCTACAAATTTCATGGCCCCGTGGCCCCGTCACAATTTTTCTTATCCCCCCTCTCTCAGCATCTCCCCCCATTAGTAAATATAAAATTCTTAACCCTCAAATTACCAAATTTAAAAAATTTCCCTTTTTCCAGGCTGCTGCAAGCTATCTTAAGTGCACCATCACCATAATCACAACAGCTGGTAGTTCGGACGAAGACAGTGTCATATCCATCCATCCTAAAACTATTGGGAGCGCAAACCCGAAAACGGGAGTGCTTACATTAGGACACGTAGCAGAAATTCACTACTTCAGCGCCGAACCTGAGGGATCTGATGAATTCCCAACTGTGTACGGAAGAGATGTGGACTCTATAGGTAGGATTTTTTTTTATCAGCAAAGCCAACTTTTATAGATATAGTCGCAATTTCAGCACACACAAGCGGGCCACATCCGGCCCGCGGGCCCTAATTTGCCCACTTCTGTTATATTCGGAGAACCGTAATCGGTGCAATCGATTATGCGAAGAACCGGCGCCAAGGGAGCTAATTAGAATCGAGAAACACTAAAACATTACCACTTTTCGTCTTATTCGTTAATAATTAATGAACTAATGATGATTGACACGGAATGAACTTGTGAATATGGCCCCAACTTATTACACTATTGGTCTGAAATTATTTCTAATTACCAAGTTACACCGTAACATCTAGCAGGGTGGTCCAAGGTTGTCGGCTCCGCGGGCCACAAATTTATTTTTTCATTGTTCGCGGGCCACAATAGTGCCAAGAATAGATAAACAGTGCAATATAAAACAAACACTTTTATTGTGCAAACACATAGTTATTAGACATAGCCATCACAGGATAACAGACCTTATATTTGTAATCTGCGGCTCCAACATGATCTAACGCTAACACACTTTTCTTTTTCTTCCACTAGAGGACGCCGTAAAAATTTTCAGCGGGAAGCGAAAGCTCAAACCTGCTTTGAAAGGAGGGGGAAGACCCGGATCTCGTCATCGTAGAGAAACAAAGAAGGTACACATGGAGGATCCTAGCTTCAAAAGGCACAGAGATTCATTGGTCGACACCAGAGAAAGGATTTCGTCAGGTGATTTGGTATTTTGTATTAAAAACTGGGTACTCCCGTAGTATGTGTACCAGGTTAGGGTTGGGCCATAATTTTATTCCAATTTTCCTTATTTTAGTTCTATTACTTGTTCCGGGACTAGCCAAGTGACTCCTGTAGTATGTGTACCAGGTTAGGGTTGGGCCATAATTTAATTCCAATTTTCCTTATTTTAGTTCTATTACTTGTTCCGGGACTAGCCAAGTGACTCCTGTAGTATGTGTACCAGGTTAGGGTTGGGCCATAATTTTATTCCAATTTTCCTTATTTTAGTTCTATTACGGGATCGGGGACTAGCCTAGTGACTCCCGTAGTATGTGTACCAGGTTAGGGTTGGGCCATAATTTTATTCCAATTTTCCTTATTTTAGTTCTATTACGAGTTCGGGGACTAGCCAAGTGACTCCCGTAGTATGTGTACCAGGTTAGGGTTGGGCCATAATTTTATTCCAATTTTCCTTATTTTAGTTCTATTACGAGTTCGGGGACCAGCCAAATGACTCACGTAATTTTTGTATCTGAAATTATGGCCTAACCTGGTACACATACATTATGTTACGTTCAAGTGTCCGCCATTTTGGTTCACATACTTCGGGGTACCCAATTGGCGATATCTAGAACGCAAAACTGTAGGCGGGCCATATTGAATCGTCACGCGGGCCATAATTGGACCGTGTTATGGGGACCACTGTGCTAGACTCTTGCATATTGGGATAAGTTGCGGTTTATGGTCAGACTTGATCATTTTAATTAGGTAAAGCTGTGGGACTTTTTTTCAGTTGCCTCCCCCCCCCCTCCCTCCCCCCAAATTACTAATTTATAAAACTCGACGGTGTAATATTCGGATTGAAGTTGCTGGAAAAGGCTCAAGCTGATGTGTAATACTAGTACGCATCGATCCCAAGTCAAAAATGCAAAAATTTTGCGTTTAAGTTTGCAGTTTGAGTTCGCGAATTCGAATCTGAATAAGTGCAATTCTAATTTAAATTCAGTCAAAGTAGAGAGAGCCGATAGAAGAGTTTTAAGTATAAGTTTTTGTATACAAGTATGTTCAAAGGCAAGTTTTAATATCCAGCTGGCCAGGGGTTCTCAAACGTTTGGTGTTATGGAGCCCGCAAAAAAGTTGATTGTTATATACTCCTGTAGTGTGTGTACCAGGTTAGGGTTAAGCCATGATTTTATTCAGATTTTCCCTATTTTAGTTCTATCACGAGTTCGGGGACTGTCTATATGTTAGCTAAGTGAATATACCCCCTGCCCATAGGTTTCAGTCCCTTTATTCAACTTGTAAGTAGGCGAATAAAATCAGTTACCTCCATATTGGTATACATATACCTCTGAAGCGCCGACTGTTATTTACAGAGTCCTACAATAAATTCAAAAAAATGAAAAAAAATTCATTTACCGGTTAATGTTTCTGAGTAAATTAAAATTTTCTAATTTAATGGCTCGGATTTGTGTTTAATTATTAAAAGTCAGAAATAAATCTAAATTTCACAGATTTTTTATATTAAAGATGTAAATTTAACACTTGACAAACATAACCGTAAAGTAGAATCGGAACCTGGCAACAAGGCGGTAATTTAAATATGGCATTATTTATTGGAACTTATAAATAATGTCACACAGTTGCCACATTTGGACGCTGACGTTGTCAAATTTTAATAATGCCGTTATTGCTTCTTTGGACAGTTACAAAATTAGCTAAGTCAGTATTTTAATAAGTAAACGAATAGTTCGCGTAGTCTCCAGGTTTTCTCGCACGTAGACTTGAGGGTGGGGTTCTGTATGGAGCACTGTGGAATCCCATGGTTTAGGCGTAGGTCAGGGGTGACCAAACTTTTTGGGCTAGGTCTGACTCAAACTGTGTTGAAACCGGCCGGACAAATATTTTTGTCAATATAAATTTTATATTTCCGAAGAATATTAAATTCTATATCGCAGAATATAGATCGAGAACATCATAGAAAAACAATTGCTGTCATGAATATCCGCATGTAAGCAGTACAAAAGTTAATGTGACTTGTGAAATTGGAGCAGTAAGCGAGAGATTACAGTACTATTAGCGCAAAATGCACGTTTGAAGTTCATTTGAGCGCAGGAAACGTACACACCAACAGTTTCGCCGAAAGCACGCGCCACGAGTGCATCCGTCGCAAAAAACGTTGTGTGATCGTTGCGTACCAGTAAAGAATTTGAACCTATTTTATCACAGCTATTCCTAGACTTATTTTTGATTACTGCAATTAAACTACAACTCCTAAGAAGACAAAATGATGAATGACTAATTTGATTCATACTTAAATTTCCGAAACACAACCCAAAACTAACGAATAGCATTCAAAATCGCGTAACCTATTGTTACGTTACTTTTGCAGCTTGTTGATTGGCCAGTGTTACGAAATAAACAAGGAAGTCGATGTTAGGGGAAACATCCCTTAGAAAAAAAACTCGCCTTTTTTCGTATTATTCCGGGACAGATGGAAGGACGCCACGGCCCGGATCTGGCCCGCGGGCCTTAGATTGGTGGCCCCTGGCCTAGGCGATCGTGTCCTTGTGTCCCATTATGAATGTTCTTGGAACCGATTAAAATTTATTTTTTTAGTCGCCTATGAGCAAATAATCCAAATAATCAAACAAAACTATGACACAATAATATAAAAACAGAATTTTTGTATAGATCCGGACCATGTTTGATTAATAAAAAAACTTGCAAAATTCGTAATAATTATCCCGTATCATGTATGGCACAGATATACGTTAACTAAACAAGAGAAAACGAAACTAGTTTATGCTGACGAAACAAACTTTGTGACGCGACAATGAAAGTTAAACAATTCGCGCGTTTTTATTTAAAATATAAAAATGGCCATAAAAGTATTCATTTTAATACCGTACAAAAAATATGGGAAAATCAATCGAATTTTATAGTAATTAGAGTAATGGCTCTATTATCGTTAAAGATAGACTGGCCGTGTGGGTTAGATTGCGCTCATTTGGGTGTATATTGATTTTTAGGGTCAGTGGTTCCCAAAATTGGTTGACCGTGGTCCAAAATTAGGAACGGAAAGATATTCACGGGCCGGAAAAGAGCGGATACCGTTATATATAATTAAGATACCGGTATAATTGAATTGTTACGGGTATACACGTATTTGAAGTGCGAAAATGACGTAACAATTGGTGGTATCTATAACTTAAAAAAACAAAACATAAAGTAACAAACTAATTCACTTAAGTTCGGCGGGCCATATTGACTCGTTTTATTTGGCCCGCGGGCCGCGGTTTGGGAACCACTGATTCAGGGGAGAAAAAACTAAAATAATACTGAAAAATTTATCTCTGCATAGCCCTCTTCAGAGGAAATCATATTAAAGGAGTTTTTTCCATTGTGTATCTGCATTTCGAAGTGTTAATAGTCTAGCAGGCGTTGTGATGTTTGTGGTGAGATTTGGGATCTTTGTACAAAGCCTTCATTGGGGCTATGCAGAATATTTAACCATCGTGAACAAAAGATTATATATTAATATGAAAATAGCCGCTCAGACAGAGACTTGTTCAGGGTGTAGATGTGAACCTTAAAAATTTAATTTAATATAATTATCCCCGTGTTTGGGATCAAACACAAAAAACGAAACTAGTTTCTGATGACAGAATAACTTTAATGGCGTGACAATGGAAGTTAAACAATTCGCGCGAACTACATTCGAAATGTATGAATAGCCATAAAAGTTTTATTTTAAGACCTTGCAATAAAAAATATAAAAAGTTAATAGTTTAAATACCAATGACATTCATATTATTCAAAGTAATGGCACTATCGCCGTAAAAGAGAAATCATCCCGCTAGGCACTGGGTGGGTATTTGTGGGACGATGTAGAGCAAATCTTGTTCCTGACGCGGATTTGTACTTTTTATATTTTGTTTAAAGTGCAGTTAAGAAAAGTTTTTTTGATGTATGTCGGCGATTCCGAGTTGTATTCAGTGTAGCAAGATTGTAGTTAGTTTTGTATGTTTTTCCATTGCCGCTCTAAAATGGGTGAAAAAAAATGAATCGTAAAAGGTTCCAAAAAATTGGAAAAAATTGAAACGCGTATTTTAGCTAAATAATAACGTACAAGTATGTCAATGCAATATTAGTCATTATAAAATGTCGAACAACTATAAAGAAGGCGCAATTTTAGGATTTGCCGACATTTTACTCAGATACAACACTGGCTAAAGTGGGGGGGGAGGGGGGACCATGGCCAAAAAATTTTGCCTGTCTAGACTTGTGGGCCATGTAAGTGTGATGTGAAAAATAACATTTTATGAACAATATTCCCAATGTTAGAAAAGCAAAAGCGGAAAACATCAAGCCTCGTACCAAAACTCAATTTAATCGCAATCTCGACAAATAACTTGAGTTCTTTTATAGTTGAAACATCAAACTTTGGTTTTTGTTTGGTTGTGTCAGCATCAGGCAGGCCAGATTGAATTACCCAACAGGCCAAATCTGGCCCGCGGGTTGTAGTATGCCCATGTCAGATCTAGAGCGTACTTCAAAGCGTATATTTACGGAAATACCCCGTAATGATAGTTGTCTAATTGTTGAAAGTAACCAGATGTCACATTCCAAGATTTCGTTATAAATATGGCATGGGTTATTCTTGCAAGCGAATTACAGGAGTGAAGAAGCAAGCAGACCGTACACATGTAAAGCTTTTTGTAAAGTAGTGAAAGTTACAGTGACAATGACGAAGTTTATTCTGCCATTATTCTAGTTTCAATAACAGTCGTTAGATAGATGAACCGCCGATAGTAGCGAGCACAAAAGTAAAGAGAATCGGGTCGTTTTTGTTTTTGAAATGTAAAAAAAGTAGTTTCTGTATATTACATTTCACTTTTCGTAGATGGTGCCGAACACGCTATGAGTTTTGGGCAAAAGATTGGAAAACTTTCGTTATGAATTTCGTGTCCATATACATGAGCATAGCTCTCTTG